GGGTGGGGGCAAAGCTGCAGCTGGCTGGGAATCGGGGCTGGTTTCCTGTCTGGAAGGGAAGGGGCCCGCAGAGGGGAGAGGGGCAGCAGCAGCCAGGCACACCCCTGCCTTTCTCTCTCCCTCTCCTCCCTTCTGCTGGAAAAACGAGGTAATTGTGAGCCCGGGGTGGGGGGCGGTCTGGATGGGGGACCCAAGTTGGAAGAGGTGGCCCTAGGGGTGGGGCTACTCTTACCCCTCTGTCACACTCCCTGGGCTCACTCAAGTCCTCATCTCTTTCCCTCTTCTTCCTCAAACTAAGCCAGAGCCACTTTCAGAAGGCTCCAACCTCCTGGCAAACCCCACGGCCCTGTAGAACCTGCATGAAGTGTCCCCTCCCTGCCCCCTTCCAGTTGTGCCTGCCCCTCACACCCTGCAGCACACAGATTCTCTGTCCACTCGGCCAGGGATGTGGGCGGGGGCTGGGGAGGGGCCAGAGTCGGAATGAAAGGGCCCTTTTCTTCCACAGCTGGGGGAACAGCTGCCACCAAAGCAAGACTGGACACTCTGTGCCCAGAACCCCCTCTGCAGCTGGCCTGCCCTCTCGGGACCCTGCTCATCCTCACCCCATTTTCCTCTCCTCCCATGCCTGGCTCCCACCAGGGCCCTGGAACAGCGGGTAGGCAAGGGAAGTTTGTCACAGCAGCCAGAAGGGTCCAACAGGAGTGCACGGAGGACAGGGGCTGCCTCTGCCCTCTGCCCAAGAACTACCCACCTCTTTCAAGACAAGGGGAGCAGCAAGAGAAGGAATTGTGGGGCAGCGTGGAGCTTGCTCGCTTCACTCCTCTGGAGGGGTCAACAAGGGAAGGGGCACCAGGGGGCAGAGAGATGCAGGACAGATTGCACATCCTGGAGGACCTGAATATGCTCTACATCCGGCAGATGGCGCTCAGCCTGGAGGTAACGCCCCCACCCCTGGAGTGCACCTCCTTCACAGCGCCCAGCCCCAGTCTCTGCTCTGCCCATTCCTGCTGGGCTAATCCGGGAGAGTGGGGTCTGCTGAAAGTGGGAAGATGGGCAGGTGGTTCTGTATACCGTTCGTTGGGTGCTATGTGTAGACCCAGGCTCAGTTCTGCCAATTAGAGTATCACGTTGGCAACAGGGTCTTCACACCAATTTCTGGAAGCCTTGTGGGTGGGTGTGGACGTGTGTTCTGGGGCTAAGGGCTCCTTTTAGGTATGGGAAGAACAGAGGTGTTCAATATGAGAGAGGCTGGCAGGAAGGTGATGGCCTTACTAGAAAAGGGGAAGAGGACTCTGGGGCAGGATATAAGGATTCTGTGGCCCTGAAGATGGCAGGGCACTGTTTATCCATTTATTTATTCATTATCACATTTACTGAACACCTACTATATGCCAGGCTCCTTTCTAGATCTTGGGATACCTCAGTGACCAAAACAGGAAAGGTCCATTCTACTGACGGAACAGATAATAAACATGCAAACACACAAATTATCCCACACAGTGGCATGATGATGAAAACCGGGTGGCGGTGTACTAAACATCAGGTAGGGGAGGCAGCATTAGATGCAGGGGTCAGGGAAGGCCTCTGCGAGATCTTTGAGCTGTGACCAGAAACATACAAAGATGTGTGAAGGTCGGAGGAAGGGCTTTCCAGCAGAGGGCATAGCAAGGGTAAAGGCCCTTATGTAAGAATGACGGTGATACGTTTGGGGAAGAAAGAGAGCCAGTGTGGCTGGAACATAATAGTTGGGATTGAGCTGATGGGCAGGGGCCAGATTATACAGGGCTTTGAAGGCCAATGCAAGGCACTTAGATTTTACTCTAAATGGGATGTTGGCCCATGGAAGGGTTTTAAGCAGGGAGACGACTCATCTAATGTTTTTAAATGATGGCTGCTGTGTTTTAAATGAATAGGCTAGGCAGGGGTGGGGCGTGGAAGAAGGAAGGGTTGGCAAGGGGGGTAGCAGAAGACCTCCAGCTGGGAGGTTGTTACAGCCTTGGGGGAGTGAACCTGGTGGTGTGAATTAAATGCTGATGGTGGAGGGAGGGAGAAGGGGGTGGGTTTCAGAAGATGGCGGTAGATCTGATAGGGCTTGCTGATGGACTGGATGTGCGGAGTACAGCAGAGAGAGGACTCCAGGATGTTTTCCCCCGACTTGTGACTATGCAACTGGGCAGTGTGGTCATTTACTGAGTTGGGGAAAATAGAAGGAGCTGTGGAAGTGACCGCCTGGACCAGGCAGGGACTTGCTGCTGAGGGAGGTCAGAGGCAGGACAATAGAGTCTAGCTCAAAAAGGCAATTTATTGCTTGTGTTGCTCCCCCAACCCCATCCCTACTTCTTAGATCATGGCAGACATTACTAGTCAATCATGGCACTCTTCACCAACAAACCCACACATGGCCTCAGAATCTTTCTTCACACAACTTTGGCATACATTATGCAGGTTGTGTCCTTCACAAGGGCACTGGGCAGTGGCATTAGTCCTGGCCTGGTTTTGGGCTGTGTGATGGGGGGGGCCTTTATCTAATTTGTTTGCCTGGAGAAGATCATCTTTTTCTAAAATTTAGAAAGGTGCCCAACAAGCACCCTGGAACTCTGACACTACCTGTTTTCCTGGGCTGGTACATGGGATCAAACCTATTTGCCAGCCCTAGTCCTCCGTACCGCCCATGTTACTAGTTACATGAGGCTATTTAAATTCAAAATGAAGTTAATTGAAATAAAATAAAAAATTTAGTTCTTTCATTACTCTAGCCACATTTCAAGTGCTAGATGGCTACTGAACATTTTCATCATCGCAGACCTTATTGGACATGGATGGTCTAGGTATTTAAATGTTTAATTTGGCATCCCTTCCCCTCCATGTAAGTTTTCTTCATAGGAGCTCTGCCCAAGTTCTGGGACAGAAGAGGGAGCTTAGATTTTACTTTGGTCATCTCTTGTTCAGCCATGGGTTGGCTAAGGGCGCTTCGTTCCTTCTCCATGAAGCTGAGCAGTTCCCCAACTCCCATCCTCCTGGTGTTTCTGGGATTAGCAAGAGAGGTAGTCATGGAAGTGTAAACACAAGACTTTCTGGAGGAGAACACTTAAGCTCTCCCTAAGTAAAGGGGAGGTGGGAGTGCTGGGCCCAGGTAGAGGTCAGACTTTCCCATTTTAATCCTCAAACAGTGATATGAAGGACATGGAATACCCCGAAATTTACCAACTGAGATCTCCAGAGGTTAAGTTCTCACAGCTAGTCAAGTTCATAAGCCAGGATTTGAAATTAGCCCTGGGGGAGATTCTAAAGGGAACAGGAGGTGGTGGGAAGCAGAGCAGGAAGTCAGAGATAGAAGCGAGTGGGAGGGACTGGAAAGGATGTGCACGAGGGCCTAATGTGCACTGGGCCTTCTGCCATGACTCATCCTCCTTCAGCCCCTTGGGCCCTGACCCAGGTCCCACTGACATCCAGCTGAGGGCTCTTTCCCAGGAGAGTGTGGTGGCAGTACTGCCTGCCGGGGCGGGGGGGGGGGGTGGACATGGAGCTATCCCTGAGGGAGGGAGATGGGGCGAAGCTCAGGCATACGGAGCCCGCTTCAGTATTTCAGAGATGATCAGCCCGAAGGGTGAGATTTCCTGATGCTCTCACCATCAGGCCCTGGGAGAGTGGATTCGAATGGAAGGGCAGTGGTGGGGGTATGGTAGCCGGGGTAGTGTCTGGGCCCCCAGTCCGGCTCTTCCTGGCTGGTCACAGCGACTTCTCTGCAGCTCCAGTTAATTCCAGATTAGACAGCGTCCCCCTCCCGCATGCTCCCAGGCAAGGAGTCACCTGGGAGGGCAACTGCAGCGTGGTCGGGCCTCCTGGCCTCCGGCACCTCCGCGGCCTGCAGCCCTTTCCTGGGCGAGGCCGGTGCTCCTGGAGGTACCTTCCCATCTCGACTGGGTCTCTGTGGTAGCGCCACCCGGAGCTTAGCCCAGCGGGACCGCAGGAGCGCCGGCGCCCCGGGGCCCCCGGGCCGCTCTCGCGGCAGTTGGGAG